GGTTTTGGACCAACTCATCAGGTGGAAAGTCGGCCCAAAAATAATAAACTACATAAAAAACTTCATGAACAATAGGAAAATAAAAATAAAAATTAAAAACATAATAACCCGCCCCTATCCACTCTTCAACGGCATCCCCCAGGGATCCCCAATATCCGTCATCCTTTTCCTAATTGCCTACAACAACCTCTCCAACATCATCGGCTTACATAGGGAGCTGCAATTCTGCGCCTATGCCGATGATTTTTTCCTATTTATACCCCCTCAATAAAGAAAAAACCTATCCCATAACCTTGACAGCCTCTTTGCCCAAATCCACGAATGGTGCTCATATTCAGGAGCATCACTCGCACTCAACAAATCAAAACACCTCCACATTTGCCGAAGGCATAATTGCATTTGCACCATATCGTCCAACAACACCCCCATTCCCTCCGTTTCCAGCCTAAAAATCTTAGGCCTAACACTAAATAATAAATATAGATGGGACTCCCATATAAAAGCAATACAACCGGCGCTAACAAAAAAACTAAATATAATAAAATTCCTTGCCAATCCCAAACAAAATTGCAGCACCCATACCCTCATAAACATTACAAAAGCTACGCTTCTATCAAAAATAGAATATGGGATTTTCATATACGGCCATGCCCCCAAATCAACCCTCAATAGACTTAAAACCTTATTTAACGCCGCAATCCGCATATCCCTTGGAGCACTACGCTCGACCCCTATCCCCAACTTGCTTTTCGAATCAAATATACCCACAATAGAACAAAAAAGAGACCTCATCACAGCCAAATCCTATAAAACACTCCTAAATAGCTCAGACTCCCCACTCCATAAATACATAAAACGGAACTGCAACCATAGAAACAGCAAACTAACATCAACAGTGCAAAAAATAATAAATTCATGCAAAGAACACAATATCCCCTACCTTCCACCTCCAAACAAAACAATCACCCCCTCATGGTTATTTCCCGCTCCCCTCATCAACACCACACTACACCAATTCAGCAAACCCCACACACCTCCCAGCTCATATAGACAACAATTCGCCAATCTCAAACATATATACAAAGACCATACATTCATTTACACCGACGGCTCACTGCAAAATGACACAGCCACTTTTGCCATTACTACAGAAAATGAAGTCCTAAAAAGATGTATCCTACCCCATTACTCATCCATCCTATCCGCCGAAACCATAGCTATTCTCCATGCCATAGAACTGATCCAAAAAAAAGAACAGGAAAATACATCATTTGCTCCGACTCCCTCTCGTCCCTAAAATCCATCTCCAATACCAACAACAACAACTTATATCCCGCAACCATAAGAACACTCCTTACAAAATCTGCCCCCAAAATAAAACTGTTCTGGGTACCCAGCCACTGTGGCATCGATGGGAATGAGCTTGCCGATATCACAGCCAAATCCACAGCCAAAATGCCCCTCCACTACACCCCAAACTTCAATTCCAAAGATATACACAAATTCCTTGCCAACGAATCATCCAAAAAACTCCATCAAAATATAGAAGTCTGCAACAGTTGGTATCAGCAACTCAACAACCTGACACACACAACCTATTACTTAAAAAACATAAAACAAGAAATTATTACACGCAGCGACCAAGTAAAAATACTAAGACTCCGACTAGGACACACAAGATTTACAAAACAACAATACATCAACCCTGACAACATAATCCCATGCCCCAACTGCAACACCACAACAGACCTCACCATCCAACATATTTTCTTTAACTGTCCTGCAACTTCCCACCTGAAAACCCAAATCTTCCACAACAGCTGCCCCATATCCTTACTCTCAAACCCAACCCCTGAAAACATATGCTCAATAATCAAGTTTCTAAAAATAACAGATTTATACCACCTCATTTAGTTCCCAACCAACAAAACAATGTAAATATGTATATAAATGTAAATGCATAGGATAAGTTAGAGCCGAAGGCCATAGTAGCCAGTGCTGTTAAAATTAAGTTAGATCTTAATTTTTAATTATATCTAACTTTATAAAATAAATAATAAATATTTAAAGAAATGTCGTCTGGCTGAAAAGCAATCGTAGTTAATAGCAACTAAGCCGCATGCGTCCAAAAGTAGGCGTTGGGCCACGTTCACATGGCATTTAAATCACGTCTTGCTTTATGGCTTACACCATTGTGTGTGTGTGTGAGAGAGAGAGAGAGAGAGAGAGTGAAAGAGTGAGGTAGAGGGCGGTCGGATGCTTGGCATTTACTTAATTGGGGCTTAAAACTGCAAAATGCACTGTATACACACATAAACACGCTACACACACACACACACACACACACACACACACACACACACACTGACACATACTGAACACTTGCACAGCGGAAATGTAAAAAATAAGGCAACAAAGCGTGAGCTAAGCTGCCTTCCTTTACAACTCATGCACAATACTTGCTCATGCAAGCACCCACCCACACACACACACACCCACACATACATACAAAAATACCCCAGCTTAATGCTGATAATACCTGCATTTATGAGTCTTTGCGGGAGTCGCCAAAGTCTGTCGCAAAGTCGGATTTAAAAAGCTTCACGGCTTCCAGCCTTGATGGACTCAGAGTCGCAAATTGCGAGCTTTCGTCACAGAAATTAGTTGAGTCAGGTTAATGGGTTGGTGGGGGAGGGGGGAGTGCTGCTTGGACGCGGTAATAATGACCCAATGCAACGGGACAAATTGCTGTTATTAGTGGAGACGCCGTGCCATTGGCAGTTGCTCCTTTTTATTGATTTAATCGGCTTCGGTACATGTATGCCACGCCTCCTGCTGACACACACATACACGCACATATGCAGAGCTGTGCTGCTCATTAAAACTGCTTTGTATTTTTATTTATTTTCTTCTCTCTTCTCCTTTTTTTTTTTTTTTTTGCTGGAACAGCCCCATCCTTGGCATCGTTCATTTCCGCTCTATTGGTGTATAAACAATTTTTGCGCATTAATTGAATCGCACGGCTTGTATGAGTGCGTGTCTGCGTGTGCGTGTGTGTGTGTGTGTGTGTGACATGCATAAGCCAAATTAATTGTTGCCTCGTTTCGCACAGCAGCCGAGTAAAAACGTCGCTGGAATTCAACGCCCTCTGACTGCTTGGCTTTATTTATTTCTTGCCTTCCTACTAATTTTTTTCTATTGTTTACATGCAACAAAAGCCATTGGCGCCCTAATGAAGGTTTAATTAGCAAACACACTTCCACACTCTCACACACCCACAACACAGTGACACACGCACACACACACACACACACATATATATATTTAAGCACGCATTATTTCAGAAGCCGTATCCTGCGCGGCTATTTTTATGTCTGCTCGTATGCGCCACTAATTCCACTTTTAATTAGTTTATTTGGCACGTTGTGTGTGATTGATTGATTGATTCAATTAGCGAAACAAGCTGCCTGGCAATGCGCAGACGACAGGCGTCTACTGTGAAGGATTCAGGGATTAAAAACCTGCAAATAAACAGAAAAATTCATTGTAAATCCAAGCGAGAATTTCCAAACAAATGGAAATGCGTCAAATGAAGACAGCCTTAGCAACATTTCGACTTGAGTTTGATTGAAGTATTAGCCAGGGACTAGCTGTTACCGAATCATAATGGGTAAATGGTATTAAATGTCTCTCTCTCACTCACTCTCTCTCCCGCTCTCTCTCTCTCTCTCTCCCGCTCTCTCTCGCTCTCTTTGTAGACAAGTCTATCTCAAATTATTATTTTGCCTAAACGCTTATTGTTGCCTGTTAATTGAATTTGCGAAATAAGGGCTCTCGGGCTGGCCAACTTCATTTATACAGTGGGCGACAGACCTGAGTTCACATAAGCTGTCCCGAGAACTAAAATGTGCTGTGTGAACCACATGAACTTGGCCACATCAAAGTTAAAGCCCCATAAAACCGGCCTTAAAAACTCACAAGACCCGGCCACCCACATACATTGTGTGTGTATTTGTTTAAATATATATAAACATATATATATATATTCATGTGTACATGTGTCGGTGTGCGTGTGTGTGTGTGTGTGTGTGTGTGTGTGGGCTTTGTGGGTGACTTAACCAACAAAACCACAGCGAATAACTGGGTACATTTTTGTTTGTTTCTGGGTCCGAGCAGCCGAGCAAAACAAGGCGAAGAGCAAAACATTTTAAAGCCTTTGCCAGGCGGGTTGACAAATAAAACATGTGGCAGGTGGCGCACAGATGCCAGCGACAGCTAAAAACTGAGACTAGATCTAGTCAGGTGGGTGTTGTGGGGGGTGGTGACTGTGGAGCTATGTGGCTTTAGGGTCGGAGGTCACATGCGGTTAATAATTGCAAAGCGAGTCGAGTCGAGTCGAGTTGAGTCGAGGCACCGGATACGGAATACGGAATACGGGACATGGGCAGCGAGGCGCTTAAAAACTTATCACTCATGTTCAAAAGTGTCCAGGTGGCTGGTGGCTGGTGGCAGGTGGGGCGAGCTGAGCGGTTCATGGAGCGCAGGCCGGACACAATGGCGCCCGGAATGGCCTAGAGGTATGTGCGGGCTTATTGATGGCCTGCTCGGCAATTTCATGGCCTGCTTGTTGTGCTAAATGGCTGGCTTTTAATCCGCTGCCCGGGTCGGTTGCATTGCCGCTGGCGTGCGGATGGCTTTGTCTAAAAATGTTTGCAGCCATTTTGCATATCACGGGTTTTGGGTCCATAAAGCACACACACACACACACACACACATATGGTCGCAATTGGAGGTGTGCTGGTGTGGGTCTGGCATAAACGGAAAATTTGTATAGAAATTGAAATTCAATTTCCTTGCCGCTGCCCGTGCGGTTGTCGAGTTTTGAATAAATTTCACATACACTAATTTATTAACATTTCCGATTCGACTCGGTTTTTTGTTTCCTTTTTTCTTTTTCGCTCACTCACTCATTCAGCTTTTGAATTTTACAACTTTTTCAGGATCTGCAATCGGAAATTGAAACCCATCGCGTTGTTTACGATCGTCTCGATGGCACCGGCCGCAAACTTTTGGGTTCGCTCACCTCGCAAGAGGACGCCGTTATGCTGCAGCGCCGCTTGGATGAAATGAATCAACGCTGGAATAATTTAAAATCGAAAAGTATTGCAATCAGGTAAGTGGTTTTTGCCTCCAACTTTCTCCTTTTCTATATATAAATATATATATATATATATATATATATATATATATATATTTTTTTTTTTTTTGCCCACTGCTGCTTCTGGCTCTCTGAGTGTTTCCTTGTGTTTGTTCGAGCTCTTGCCGCTAACGCTTTCCACTTAGTTATATATATTTACATATATATGTATATATATATTTACATATATATGTATATATATATTTACATATATATGTATATATATATGAATATATATATATATTTTTTTTTTTTATTTACTTTTGTTTGTGACTAAGCAAACTCACATCTGTGCATGGAGCTCTGAGCACTGCATAACTAGGCCAATGTGCATTCGATGAATGCGTAAATATATGTAATGAGCATGATGATGAAACATTTGTAAAAGTTAAAATAAAATATGTATGCATATGAAATATATACATATACAAATGTAATAATATATATAATATGATATATGCAGCATAATAAGAAATTAATAGAAAAGCCTTTTGGCTGTTATGTTCTGTTTGCCTCCCAGTGTTGCCATAGCATTGCACAGAGGCTGTCAGCTTGTATTAACTGAGTGAGTTTTGCGTCTCAGCTGCACGCATCTCTAATCTGTATGCTGTAATTCTCTACGCGAGATAGAAAGCTGTAGCTATAGCTCCAGGAAGTTGCGTTTGTTGTTGAATGAGAGAGAGAGAGAGAGAGAGAGAGAGAGAGAGAGAGAGAGAGAGAGTAGGGTACTCAAGTCCATTGTTGGCTTGGTATGATTTCCATGAACGACGAGAGAAAATACGAGAAATAGAAAATATAACGGAAGCTGTTTCAAAAGGCACTTGGATATTTATATATCGCAGAGTAATTCGTTTATATAAATATTGTATACAAACATTTTGAGAAACACTCTTAATCTAATGCTGAAATCAATTATTAGCTTGTCTATATACTGTATTGAAATATGAGAATGTAAGGGAACTGATAATCAAGCAACAAGGGTCACAATTTCCTATAGGATTCGATAGGATAATAACAGATTTCTGCATTAGATTAAGAATGAATGTATAACATAATATATGTATGTGCTTAGTCTTTCAGTTTCACAAACAACTCAAAACCTACTTCATAAGAAGTAGACTATAGACTATAAGGAATAGACTACTATAGTCTGTTACTTATAGTTCTAAACACTTAAAGTAAATTTGAAGTTGATCTAGAGAAGTTTTCATTATTTAACTCAGCATGTCTAAGAAATCGGTTTTCAATTTCCATTTCACCTTGTAATATTGATACTTTCCCATTGATATTGTGTAGCTCTAGCTTGAACATGAGTGTAAAATGAGAGCTCTAATATTCCAACATTCCAACATAGAATCTCAGTTCTTAGATCAGCGATTAATTCGCTTGTTTAGGGACTGTAAGCGCGGCCGAGTATCGTGAACACGAGCTGACGCGTTAATTAAACCACATTAAAGGCATGTTGTGTGCCATTTTCAGCGCCACAGACAACGGGATGCTGGACTCAAAGACTTTGTGTTGATGAAAATGCGAAAATAACCGTACAAACAAGCCAGTCAAACGAGCCGGGGCCGGCCATCAAGGACGGGCGACGTCAGTTTACGCGCGGTCAGGCAGCAGGCCAGATGTAAGAGCTACGCCCATAAAAGAGAGCTTGAAAATCAATATAAAAAAAAAAAAGCCATGAAGAATGGCAACATGAACAACAAAATGCGTGAAAAGTCCCGGAACCGGCAAAAGTGACACGGACACACAGAACACTGTATCGCTCCGCACGCGCCGTTGATGTGGCCAATCCGTGATGGGCGTTGACAGCTGCCTGGCTGGCAATATGATGCTATCCAGTCCGGGACGCGAGTTCAGCAGGTCCTTGTCCGCGCGTCCTGGGCGAGTGGCTGGCCGTGTGGCTGTATTTGTAATTTCCGCGTTTCATAAATAAAGCACGCCAGCGTTTACAAATATTGTCCGCTTGTTGATATTGATGCCGGGCCCCGGACTGATGATGCCGAGGCTGACTTGATCGAAAGTCAGGCAAACGGCGGCGCTTCTGTTTACTCGTTCGCACAGATAGTTGGCGCTGATGGCTTAAAATGAATAATGATGGTGACACGAGAAAAGCGGCGAACGCAATATGAATATAAAGCCAAAGTCTAGGGTCGAGGGTCGAGGGAAAACGCCGTACAACGGTGCGTATGCGCGCTGTGGCAGTGGCAGCCATATTTGAGGCTTCCTTTGGAGCGTTTTTCAATTAAGGCGCCCAAAAACAGAATAACAGCATAACAGCCAATGAATGACACCTTAAGTGTGCGCTGGCCACGCCCATCAGCAGGGCAGCCCCCGTTGGGTATTGTGGCTTGGCATTGCCTTTTGTTGACCAAGCTCTGACGATTATTCTTTGTCAGAGTTTCGAGATGCCTTCTATTTACGTTCATTGTTGGCGTTTTGGCATATTTCCGTTAGCCAAGTTTGGCCACTTCCAGCTCCACTTCCTCTTCCGATACGCTTGCTGTTGCTGTTGTTGTTGTTTGGGTTGTTTGGCCAGCAGCATTTGCTTTGCCGTTTCCTTGTGCTGTTTGCCTTGGCTTCACTTGTTGTTTGCTCTGCTGTGCCAGAGATTTGCTGGCTTATAAATTCCAGTGAAATATTTTGGACAGCACTTGAAAACTTTTAGTTTCTTGTTTGTATTAGCCGCGCCACTCGGCTCGCTCTGGGTCATTTATGTGCATAGTTGCGGGCTTTGAGCTTCTATCGGCAGTAGCCGCACCAGAGCCGCCTCCTGGCGTCAAAACTTTGTACTTTCAACTTGGTTTTTGTGGCATCTACAGGTGTCTCAACTGCAGCGCCATGTCTTAAGGCTGTCGTCGGAGTTTGAGTTGCGCGAAGATTGATGAACCCACTTGATGTAGAGAGTGCCCACATGTGGCTGCTCAGTGTGCCGTGTGGAGGATTGTCTTAAATTACATTTGGGACAGACAACACGGGTGGCAGTTGCTCTGTCGCCATGACGAGGGTTACCCACGCCCCATGCCAGCTTAAATGATGGATTTGCAAAAGTATTGCAATGCTCAATCAATGTATTAAGCACTGACAGTTGTGCAAAATCGCAATATTTATTCGCTTGTCAAGTGGGTGATGACAACAGCAGCATTTTATGAATATGCAGAGAGATGAGAGTTATGGGGCATAAGGTGTAATACTTGGGGCTTCTTTAAACCAGTGCTGCGTAATTAAATTCGGTAGAATGTTCCTAAGCACAGAACCTGAAACCCGAAAGCATTTAAAATTCGCTTGAATTCCCATTGCTTTGCCCCACTAATTGTCTCTGTTTAAGTCAACGCCAGCAGCTGTCGAAATAAGGCAAAGAAATCTGACGAGACATTGTCAAATGGAGAGTGACATGAAGTGGGTATACATTTCGGTCCTTGTATACATATATTGCAGAAGGAGCAGCAGCGGAGGGAAGGCAGACAACGAAATGAGCAAACCAAAAGCATTTTAATACATCTTATTTCCCAAGCATATTTCCGAGGCGAGTTATTTCTTTTATTATTTGCATGGGCGAAAAGGGAAAGTGGGCGTTAAGCTGGCAGGAGTCGGCTAAGGACATATGTATGGCTGCCCGGGTGCGATCCCAGTTGCAGGCCATGCGTTAATTACAAGCGAAGAACAGGCGAAAATAATAATCAAGAAAACGAGCCAAGGAATTTCGCCAAAGATAAACAGACAAAGCGCAAAGCGCTCCTCCTAGCGGGCTTATTGCAGGGCGAGGAGTGGATGCAGAATTTTCAGATGCCCGAGCGGGACAAAAAAAAAATATATATATGCCCAGGAAATGGACGACAGGAAAAAAAATAAAAGATGAAGGAGAAGAGAAAGAAGCAGAAAATATAATGTCATGGCATTTCACAATTACAGCGAGAGCTGAAATTTAGCATAGACGACAGCCACTTGGGTCGTCGCCATGCCTGGGGGCGCGGCTTGGGAGGGTTTATTAGACGCCCCGCCCCCGAGGCAGACGAACAAACGGACGGACGGATGGACGGGTGGACGGATGGACGGACGGAAGCAGACAAATTGTCGCTGCCATTTTGTGGATGTTGCTGGGCATCGTTGGTAATCAACACAGCTGCTTGGCCAGTGTTGTAAAGTGCCAAATTAAATTTAATATTATTATCAAGCTTATGTATTCTCCGTTTTTTGCCCCCCAACCGCTAACCTTCGCACTTTGACCCTCTTTTGCTTACAGAAATCGCCTGGAATCAAATTCGGAGCACTGGAATGCCTTGCTGCTGTCGCTGCGAGAGCTAACCGAGTGGGTCATTCGCAAGGATACGGAGCTCAGCAGCTTAGGCTTGGGCCCGGTGCGCGGCGATGCGGCCAGTCTGCAAAAACAGCTTGTAAGTTCATCCTCCAGATAACCTGTTAAATAATGCGAAACTATGTGCTAAGATCTACGTAAAATGAAAGCCGTAAGCCGGCGAGCTTATAGTATTTTAACTATAAATATGTTCTTTTGGCTTATGTGTTAGTCTCCTAGTTGGAAAGACAAAAATTCAGTACATCAATCCTCTATTCAATCAGCTAGTCAGTCAGTGCATCAGCTTGAGAGTCGATTGATCAATCTGTCAATTAGTCAGTCTGTCCTTCATAACAAAAATGGACAATTAATTGTAACAAAAAACATTAAAATTTCATCAATCAGTTCAAGCTTTAATCAATGTGTCCCCTAATCATGGAGATGTTAGCTCAGTCAACTAATATGCTCTTTAATTAATTGACAGATTGATTGAAGCATGAACTGATTAATAAATACAAATACCTTATTCAGATAATGGGTATATCAAAAAATCAATGCAGAAATATATCAATTGTCTGTCAATCAATCTGACACTCAGTTGAATTATCCTTCAGTCAGTCAATCAGTTAATCAATCAATGAGTCAGTCAATAGGTCTGTAAACTAATCAGTCATTCAGCTTTTTTATTGAAATAATAGTTAAGCAAATATTATATAGCGCAATCTGAAATCGACGAATGAGATTAATATATATTATTTATATTTATTTTGAAACAACGTACAAAAAACGCTATATGTATATACATAGAACACATTTATCTTATATATAATAAATATATGCTTACAAATTCAAAATATGTATTCAAATCAAGTTTATTACATTTCAATATAGAAACCTAAAAAACTCTAAATTTGAAAAAAAAAAAAATAAATAAATAAATAAATAAATAAAAACATAAATATTTCATTAGCCCTTTAACCGACTAAGCACAGAGCTTATTAATGGATTATTCAATACCTAAAATCATTAATATTAGCACAGTAGAGTCTGGTTATATCGGCTCCGCTTATAGCGTCCGTACGTTTATTGCTACGAAAATTCTGGTCCCCAGGCAAACTAACATGAGTAAATTTATATGGCTATAGCGTCTACCGGATATAACGACGGTACCTTGAGCGTCGTTATAATCGGATTTCCCTATCTTTTTAATTTATATAGTAAAGCATTATGCCCATTAAATCTGTTGCCTTCAAAGTCTTGACTCGACATCAACATAAGTTGGCCCTAATGTATTTGGGCCTACGTTGAAAAGTATTACATGGCCTAATTGCGAATTATAGAATAATTAACTAATTAGTTGTAATATTAAAGTAAATGTGATGCTAGGTGTTGCACTCAGCGCGAATCCAGTTGGGTCGGTCTGAAGCATCTCGGTGAATATCTAGAGTACTTGCAATGGGCATGCCCTCAATAAGAGCGAGCACAAAGTTCACTCTGCAGTTGCTGCTCATCATGAGCTTGTTTGTTGGCTTTTGCTGTCCTTTTACCCTCTCTGCTTAAGTGTGTGTGTGTGTGTGTGTGTGTGCTGCCAACGACCCAATTTGAACCTTTTTGCAGAGCCCTGGCTGCACCTCAATTTGCTCGGCCCAACTAATTGTGTGGAAGGCTTTGGCAGAGTCAAGTGCGGGATGCTGGCATTTTTAGTGCCATTCTCAGCCGCAATTTGTAATTTTTCGACTGTATATGTCTCCCTCACCCTCACCCTCTCTCTCCCACTGTGTGTGTGTGTGTGTGTGTGTGTGTGAAGGGTCTCTGTGATTTAATGGCGCATAAAGCGGTTGGCAAGCCCATTTTGTGTGCTGGGCATATTTCGAGCAAATATTTAGGCATAATTATATGTATGTCAGGCAAATCGGATTCACGCTTTGTTCAAATGCAGTTGAAATAATTGCAAAGCCGCACTTGACACGGCTTTCATAGTTACACATTCTGTTTGAACTATTCGGCCCAGTTGACATTAGCATCGCCAGAGTATTATCAGAGTAAATTGAGCCGAGCGCATTTAATTTCATATCAACAACAACATATTTGTGCATTGAATTCGCAGCAGCAATGCTATTGTTCAATTGATTACGAATTTTATAATTGAGATTTGCTGCATACAAACTATGTGCTAGATATTACATTTGGGCTTTGGCCTGCTGTGCGTATACGCAATATCTGAAATTCCACGATATCAATACGATATGTGGTCTGTTTATAAAATAAAAACTTTTGAAATATGCCATTGTTTCATGCACAATTTATCGAAATTAAAATTTACTCAATTTAATAAACCGATTTCGGATGAGATTTCAGTCGGACTTGCTCCACTCGGCTGAGCCTATGTCAATGTTTTTTATTGCCAGCTCATAGATTTTTATTTTTATTTTATTTTTTTCTTTTCTTTTTATTTGCGGCTCTGCCATTGATTCTGCTCAGAGTCAAGTGCTACAGAGTATCTTAACTGCCCAACTTGACCGAATTGCGTAGTTGAATTGAAAGTCCCACTTGGGGCTAAACTGCTGCTCTGGCTGCGAATTCTTAAATAATTGTTAAATGATGCTTGTTATGTCAGAAACATTCGCACTCACACACACGAGTATATACACATATGTACACATATGTATGCCGGAAATCACTTAAGAGCGGGGGAGAAAAAAGCAGCAGCAGCAGTAGCAGCAGTAGCAGGAGCTGAAATGGCAGTAGAGGCAGGACTTGGCCAGGCCAGTTGAAAATGGGGAAACACTGTCTAACACAGCGTGCGCCACTTGAATTTCACTTACCCTCAGCATACACACACACACACACACAAACACCCGCTGGGAACTGGAGGGATGAAAAAAATGAGGCAACTTTCACCCTTGGCAGCAGGAGCAGGCTGTGGAAATCTATTGCCTGCCACTAAGTTACGGTCTGCCGGACATTTACATTTCGGCTGCTGGCGCGGCATGGAGTGAACCTATAGCTGAAGCTGGAGCTGGAGTGGGGCCCAGTCTTGAGTTGCGGCTCCAACACACTCGAAAAGGAATTTGGCTTGTATTTCGTATTGCCTTTCATTTGATTCGCCAGCATTCGGCGTGCCCTTTGGCCGCATTGTTGCATTTTTTATTCCAACACTAAATGCATTAAACACGAAATTTATTGTGAGCTTCTTCACGCCGAGCTGAGCTGCTATGAAGTGCGCTCACTATATATGTATATATATATTTCTTCCTGTGTATTTCTCTCTTTCATTTGGCTCTTTCATTTGGAAGCCAATAGCAGCAATGGCCGAATAGTTTATGGCTGGCCAAGTATCATTACTCGTTATGATTATTTGTGGCCAAAATAAATAAATCTTTGACAGAAATAATAGTAGAATGGTATATATATTTGCAAGTGAAAACGAAAAAAAAAAAAAAAACACAAGAACTATCTCTAAAACAAAATCTCATTTTGATTTTTTCTCTTTTGTGCTTGCAGGATGATCATAAAGCTTTTCGCCGTCAGCTGGAGGATAAACGCCCAATTGTTGAGAGCAATTTAACGAGCGGTCGTCAGTATATAGCCAGCGAGACGCCCGTTTCGGATACCAGCGATACCGAGGGTAAGTTTTACGGCTAACCATTAAATTATTATGCATGCGGGGCAGGCAGATAGACGTCCATAAAACATTGACCACAAAACTGACCATGAATTCTCAACTATTTAAAGCGAACTCTGTTCTCTCGATGCTTCAAGTATCATCATCGACAATCAGTTTAGCTCAACTCAACTCGCATTCACACAGCCGAGAACTCATCGGGATTCAACAATTGCCTTCTCATTGCATTTGCAATTTGTATGGCAAATCTCAAAATCAAACATCAACACAACATGTACAACTAAGAACTCCATTGAGCTCTGCCCGCAGAGGCTTAGCTGACCAGCACACACACAGAGAGAGAGAGAGAGAGAGAGAGAGAGAGAGAGAGTTTTGTGCACGTGAGACGCCTAACTCTGTGCTGTGGCTGGTTCGGAATCACCAATTGATTTTGTTTCATTGCGAATATTTTTTTTTTTTCGGTATTTGTTTTTATTTTTCCTCGTTTTTTTTTTTTTTTTTTTTTTTTTTTTGCTGTGGGCTTAGTTCCCTTTCAACTACAGCCAACAATTTAGCAAATGACCATTGGCTTAGTTAGTGCTGTTCGTTTCCAGCATGCGCACAATGGCGACAGATCACCAATGGCCACGCCCACGAGGAGGCGTCAACGATAATTGCAGCCAAAGCAATTAGTGCGATTAGTACGCTATTAGTGCCAAACCATCAACAGTTGCCCCCAAACTGTAGCTGTGCGTGTGTGTGTGTGTGCCATTAAGTTTGGCATTTGTGTGTGTGTGTGTGTGTGTGGCTACGGAATCTGTGCTTTTAGCTGGCATTTAAATTTAACCATTCATGTTTATTCTGCGGCTATCGGCAGGCCGTATCAGTGCACAGGCAGCATAAACTTGCGTTCAAATTAAATTAAATCCTTCCCCTTTAGCCAAAATCTCATTAATTTGTTTAGCCCAATTAAATATTTGCCAAATTTCAATTAGAAAATACATATTTATATAGCCTATTAGAGCAGTCGGGCAGCATTAAATACAAAAGCGAACGACCTGAAGTGAAAACGTGATATTTTCAAACATATCATATCATTATAGGAGACTTTAACAGGCTACAGTGATGGCTAGATAAGTGAGACTGTATACAGTAAAAAATATGTGTTCCAAGTTTACTCATTGTTTGCTATTAGACTAATTAATTGAGTTTTTCATATCATTCTAGACACTTTCTTCTGTTTTTACAGTGATGGCCAAATAAATGAGACAGCTAGACTAGAAAAAGAAAATCTTGCATATGTAGACAATACTAAATTTAGTCTTTTATTCTTATTAGACTAATTAAATTAGTGATTCATATCAGTTTAGTACTCAACCTATACAGTGATGGCTAGATAAATCAGACAGTTAGATTAAAAATAGAACAATCTTTCATATATAGACAATATCTCTTTATTATGTTTAGTTCTTAACTCTTTTTAGACTAATTAATTAAGTTTTTCATATCATTTTCAACAACTTTCTCAGGCTATGCAATTCTCTTCTAAACAGTGATGGCAACATAAAAGAGATAGACTATAAATTGTAAAGTCCTTCATATGTAGATAATATAACATTGCAAAGTTGATTTTTATAAATCTTATTAGACTAATTAAATTAGTTTTTCATATAATTTTAGGCATTTATATCATGCCATCACCTATACAGTGATGGCCAAATAAGTGGTACAGTTAGCTCATAAACAGAAAAGTCTTTTATAAATATATATATATTTTTTTACAAAGCTATGGATATCTTTGATTCTTATTGTACTAATTAATTGAGTTTTTCATATCCATTCAGGCAATTTGGTCAGTCTTTGCTGTTCTACCTATACAATGATGGCCAAATTAGTGAAACACTTAGACTATAGAAATGTCTTTCATATATAGACAGCATCTCATCTACAGCTTACTCTTTGACTGTTACTAAACTAATTAATTTAGTTTTTCTACCCTGGCTCATCTCTTTTTTCACTTTTCCCTTGCTTTGACAGAGAACAGGTTGAATCCCTCACAGTTCCTACACAAGCCCAGTTTTTTGTTCTATTTTTTGTATGTTTTCGCTTTTTTTATTTTGTGTGTTATTTGACCCTTTTAATTGAAATGCTAAAAATACTTTTGCTTTTAACCTACATTGGTTGCAGCTCAGCATTCAAATTGAAATTTAAAGTTTCCTTTCTCTTTTGCATTTGACCAAATTGAATTTGTTTGGAAAAATGACGGATGCTGTGCGGAGAAGAAGAAGAAGTCGCAATGAAAACGAAATCAACGGCAAAGCGAAAAGTTTTGCTGACGTTCACATCCATCGAGAGAGGTCCGTCTTCAGACGCATTTTCCATTTCCATCAACAATCTCCTGGCGCTGGCGCTGTCGCTGGCGTCAGGCAGTGAAGCGCGGAAAGAGCAGAAAACATCTATGCGATAAACTCAATCTGAAATTGAATTTGAATATTACAACAGTTCCGCTGCTGGCGGGCGCTTCCTCAAAGTATTTCTCCATGCCCGATATTTGCTTAGCATCATATTAGCAGATGACGACTGGCCAGCCAGCCAGCCAGCCAGTCAGCCAGCCGCCGGCGCGGGGCCATAAAAGTTGTTCTCCGGCTCCGTTCGTGCATTAAATTAAATTCAGATTTAGCCAACGGCTCTGACATTCATCGATGCTCAGTCGCAGAAGCCGCTGTCTTTGTCATACGGCTCTCTCTCTCTCTCTCTCTCGCCCTCTCGTCAGCAGCTCGGGGGATTGATTTTCTTCTAGCCTCGACTGCCACTTGTCACTCTCATTCTCACGCCACTCGCCCTCTCTCGCACTCTGGCTCTTGCATTTCCGCCACATGCACGTCAGCCTGTCTCTCATGTCTCTCTCATGTCTCATGACATTTCCATTATGTTTTCTTCTCTGGTTTTCCCCTGTCAATTTGGGATAGGATATTGCTGAAATTCCTTGCCTTTGACCTGCAATTGTATAGCACTATTAAATAGCCTAAGCGATAATTTTAATACATGATAAGCCATTTAGAGTGCTCATCATTATCTAGGCCGGCCCACTCTTCGAGTCTCTTTCAAGCGGAACCATAAACTGCTAATTTGATTGAAAGCCAACTCTCTGGGGAAGAAGTTGAGCTGTCCCCTGAGCGTATCTCTTGCATCGATGTGCCCAACGCAGAGCTGAGATTATTTTATTGCAAATTTAATCACCGCTCGCAATCAGCATAATCAAAGTTGGGCCCCGTTTGGCATCGTCAGCATAATCATGGCTGTCGGTAAACATTAAGAACCGTAATATCATCTCTAATTCATAAAGTTACGTGCCGCAGGGCAGGGTGGGCGGCGCAAAGGCGTGGCGTGTCGAATATGATAGCACTTGCAATTGTTTTCGCCCCGCCGACAATTTTTATAATTTTTTTTTTATATTTTTTTTTGGCTTTTTTTCACACACTTTTCGACTTTTGCCTCTTTTTGCAGCCGCCCACGACTCCGACTCGCGTTACATGTCCGCCGAGGAGCAGAGCCGGGAACTGGCGCGCAGCATACGGCGCGAGGTGGGCAAACTTTCGGAGCAGTGGAACAATCTAATCGATAGATCTGACAATTGGAAGCATCGTTTGGACGAGTACATGACGGTAAGTCAGCCAGCGATAATGCAAACTTCTTTCCCTAACTCCCCCCAACCCCCACTCTTCACGCTGCGTGTTACATTTTCATAAATTTCTTCTGACTCGCGGCTGAAGCATCTCATGAGCATTTCAATTGATTCCCGGTGCGAGCGCTCGTGACTTTTTCTTTTCGTTCACTTCTGTAATTTGTATGGCATCCAATTTGTTTTAGTCTGAGCAGCGGCAGCTCCACGAAATTTGGATTTTTCAAGGGGCCGCCGACAAATATGAGCGAGTCTCTTTGTGTGTGCGCAATTATGGTTTGCAATGCGAAAAGGTGCTCGAACTTTGTGAAGGAAATCAAATCAGTGTCAGCGGAGAGCGCTCTTGAATGGAATCATTAGGAGGCAAAAAGAAGAGAGAACAAAATTAGAATTTGTAATTTCCGTGTTGCCAACTGCAGTGGAGTCGGGCATTGAACACATTGAACGACACTTAAGCAGTAAAATTTAAATAAACATTCATTAGTCATTCAGTTAAATTGTCCGAGGACTGCAGCATCCCTCGGCTACAAGCGAGTCCTTAATATATTATTCAATTACATTTTCTTATGCTCACATGGAGCGAAGAAAAACAACCCACAAACACAAAAGGAGAAAAACAAATACTTTTGAAAGTGTTGAATGGCTTTTGCTCTCGCATTGTTATTTTACTCCACACAATTTGGGGTTATTTTTTTGTTTTTTGCTTGACAGTTTGTGGGTTTGCGGGCTTGTGGCTGTGGTCGGGTGGACGGGTGGGGTTCGGCTGATGGCTAATAAATGCAAGTGTGTTTTTTACGACACATATCGTTTGGATTGCAGAACAACAGCAACAACATGAATATAACAACAAAATATTTGCCACAAATGTGACGGGCGGCTGGCAACGGCTGTCGTTACTCATACGCACCGTAAATTTGATGCAACAAAGTTTGGCCGCATAAAAATGTCACAGAGTGTGCAAGCAATGGATAGCCATGTACATGTACATGTGTATATGTGTGTATATATATGTATATATGTGTGTGTATAACTCGTTGAGTGGGCGGTTGTATAAAATATCAAAGCGCATAAAATGCACATATTGTGTATGATGTATGCTGTATGCGAGTCGTATAGCATACTTTTGGGCACCCGAGTCGAGCTCTAGCGAAAATCAATACGAAGCAATATATATAAGTACATATGTGTGTGTGCGTGGGTTGAAAATAGAAACAACAAGTGTGGAGGAGGCATAGAAAAATATTTGCCACAAAGTGCGCATAAATATGAGAGTTGAATGGCAAGTCAAGAGTCGTAGACAGAGACAGAGTGGCAGAGTAAGAAAGAGAGAGGGGGAGGGTGGATGGAGGCGAACAGAGAGTCAAGGCAAGTGGGCTTAAGATGTCAACCGTTAAGGGCTTAACGCGCCATGCTTGCTCGCTCACTCGCTCATATGTCGCACGTTTCTTGTGCTTAAAGTGCAACACGGAGGCATATGCTAATGTTGCCACATATTTAAGGCCAGCCACAATCTATCTAAATCCAAATCTAAATGAAAACAATGTAAAGCTCATGCTGTCAGTTTATTATAATGTTGTTGTTGTTGTTGTCTCTGTCTGCCAGCTTGTTTGTATTCCTACTAGGTTATATGTATATATATATAGCCTCAGCTCGCTTCTTTCCACTCTCTCTGTCTCTCTTTCTCTCTCTCTCTCTGCCTATTTCTCTTCTCATGTATACACAGATGTGCCACCAGGGAGCTGTTTATATTTTACTGCGTCCAACTAGACAAATGCGAGTGTATTTGTGCACATAAATGCCTCAATGCAAGACAGCTGAGTGACCCATTTATGAGATTTGAAATTTTAAATGTGAAAAGAACAAATTTTAAAGCTAACCAAGAAGATTATCAAGAACAAAAAAGTAAAAATAAATCAAATAAAATAAAATAAAATTTGTAGTTTAGCTTTGCTAAGAAAACATTTCGAAGCTAAACTCTTCTCTTGGAATATTTGATGCGAAAATATTTTGTTTTAAGCTCTTATAGTTAGCAGTCATCTTTATATCAAACACAATGAATATTGCCCGAATATTCCATAATTTATTGAGTGCGAAGCGAAGCAGTTCTGGAACTCTCAAGTTGAGACACTTTTGGCATCACTTAACCAAAGGTGAATTTCTGCTCTCTTTTTATTTGTACTCTTCTTTTGACTATGTGTTCTTTGCGGTCTTTGTGCATGGCGGTGCAGGTTGCAGTCGACGAAAAAGTGATAAGGCAAACTTTAATAAAATTAACAACATGCTGGAAAAAATGAAAAAGAACGAAGCGAAATAGCATTAAAAACTTTCTCAACAAGCTGGCAAAGTTATCCGTGCCCCGTTTTCGTAGAGTAAAGCGTAAAAAGTTTAAATAAATGCAACTTAAAACAATTACCAGGAAACCAGCACGAAATTGGAGCGACGAGCGCAAATGAAACTTTCAGTGTGTTAAAATAAACGCTTTATGGAGCGGTTGACTCTGCTTAAATGAAGTCGCCCAACGGCCGGACACGCAACATACGTCCCGTTCTAAAAGGGGCCAAAGAGCCAGCGAGCCAACTAGCCAACTTTGCCCACATCTCTGCTGACCAGAAGCTGGCGCAGAGTATCTAAGCCGCAGCGTGCGCTGCGGTTAATTGACCACAAAAATGTCCGTCCGCTGTCCGCTGTCCGCTGTCCGCTGTCCCTTGTCCGCAGCTCTGTGTGCAGTCTGGCTTGCTTGAGGAATTTCTATTAATTGAATAAAAGTTTGTGCGAGCAGTGGGCGTATTAAATTTAATTGAAAACTGCATTTTCATTGAAACATTTTATATACACTCAGTTTTTTATGCAAGCGTTGCGTTTGTGTTAAGCATACGCCGTGGGGTACACTGGGTTGGACATTGAAGATAAGAGAGAAAATACAAAAATTGTGGCATGTCAATGGCACGCATCCGCAGCGTGGCTTGTGGCTTACGTTTTGGCACCTTTTCCATGTGGCTGGTGAAATGAAAATGATTTTGCCAGCTACAAGCTTAATTGAAATTGCGCGAAGTCAGCAGCTTTTTGTGACAGCCCTTCATGCTGCAACAACAAAATAAAGAAAGAACAAAAAATGGGCAGAAAATGTTTTATAATTAATTTTGACTTGAGTAAATATTACCCAGAGCCGCCCAGTGCACTGCAGTGGGCAAAGGGAGGTCGCTCCTCGCCTGCTTGGCCTGCTAATGGATATTCGAGTTAACTGGTTTGTCGCCGCCAAACCACAAAAATTGCCAGTGGTGCTGTGGTGTGGCGCTGCACGTGCCGCATCTTCAATCAACCTGCTATCGAATGCAGTTCCGCTCGCATGAAGCCGACTCCAATTAGAGCTGCACTGGCCGTCTGCGTAATTGGCCGAGTAGTCGTAGTCAGCAGCCCGTTGCTGACACCAAAGTGACGCCTGACCACATTAATGCCTGGGCAATGGGCCCGAGGAGCCCTCTAAAAGCCGTTGACTGAGTGGCCCAATGAATGCTCATTATAGGGCAGAGTGCGAACTGAGTTGACAAACTTGGGCTGCCCAGCGCAATGCCGATCTGGAATTGCAACTTGATTAGGGTCGGCTTAGGGGCGGCAAAATGTGTGAAGGGTTGAGGCCAATGGCCACATCCATGCGTCATTGGCAGCCCAGAGCTTGGCGCTTTGAAATATGCTTTATTGATTTCCTGTAAAGCTGTAAGAATTGTAAAATAAATGTGTCGAAAACGCATTGCACTGGCCAATAGTCGAGGCCATATGGGCAGCGGCAGAGGCAGCGGGCAGCTAACGGCATCCCTTGGGCTGCTGACATTGTGAACACTTCTGCTGGCCATAATTTAACCACATGTGGTCGATATTGGCACACACACACACACACACACAGATACATACAGATGCACACACACACATACACATACAGGCAACTCATTTAACCGCTTATGACCGCTGCTCGCTGGTCGCTGTGGCAGCTGCTGCTGGTCCCTGACCACGTTCGACTTCGTTCACATCGTTGTCCTTGCCCAGCTGGTCCTTGCGGCTCTTCCTTCTGCTCGCCAGTTGGGCTTGTAAAATGTGTGGCTGGAGCAGAGGCAGTAGCGCCGCAGCAGCGGCTAGTTTAGTTTATTATGCAGTCCAGTCCAGACAACAATGAAATCAATTTAAATTGCATTGCTCGAAAATCGTTCAATAAATCACTCATACGCCATGCGTGCGGCGAGTGCGCTGTGATTTATGGCAGTTTGTTAAATTTGAATTGACAACTGGCAAAAGTGAGATACTCTTTGTTTTGACATCGCATTTTAATGCACTCCCAAAAGTATGCAACGCTTTTTAATGGCAAATTAGTTGGGACACAAACCATTAAAAAAAATTGTATTGTGGAATTACAACTTTTTTCCGCACTTGAATATAGAGTTTAAAATGCCAATTGAATGGACAAATTGCAAAAAATTACAAAATATAATCAATCAAATGGAATTCCTCGCAAAAAACAGTCGACATTATTTGCAATTCCTTTTCATTTGAACCCTTTCGGTTGGCCCTTTCAAATGAGCAGCAAACAGCGAACTGCGAATGATTTATTGATCTGAAATTGCAGCTAGTCTGACAGGAACGCCAAAAGTGCTGCAGTAGTTAAAGGCAAGCTTAAAAACTCTCACCAAAAAAAAAAAAAAAAAAAAAAAAAATAGAAAATGTAGAAGGAGAAAAAAATAATATTTTTTCCTGCTTCCCGCATGGGAAATCAATTGATTGTCACGCTGAAATGGCTTGGCTTTGGCTTTGGCTTTAGCATTGGCTTTAGCTTTGGGTCTGGCTTTGGCTCTGGCTCTGGCTCTTGCTACACATTCGCTGATTACTTTGGCTATGATTGTGGCTTGGCTGTAGGTGCGCAGCGCTCACTGCCTGCCACTATCAATATACAACACACACACACATACACTCACACACGCTCTCGTTGACTTTCTG